TAATTGGCTGAGATGGTGAAACTGACTACTTTGATTATGGAAAAGACTTTTTTTTTTCTACAAGGAGACCATTTTTGGACTTTTTGTTTGAAATTGAAAGGAAACTCTAATTTTAGGATTTGACAATTAGAACTATTCATGATTATAAAAATACTGTGTACTATTGTTAATCTTAGAGTAAGAGGTTAATATACTATGTATCTAGCAAAGAAGGTCTGAAGTTACTCTTTTCCTACACTCCCAACTTTGCCTTTTTTCTAATCCTTTCTTTCTTTCTTTCTTTCTTTCTTTCTTTCTTTCTTTCTTTCTTTCTTCTCTCCCTCCCCCCTCTCTCATTGAAACTTTTTTTAAGAAATAAAAGTTCTATCAAAGATTCTGTTAAACTGATCAAATACAGAAATATGTATAAGGTATTGATGCCAATCATGTGCATCAAATTGAAGAGCTGTGTATTATGTCTCTTTATCTTGGTGAAGTCATTTATAACGAGTACATTATTTTGATAGTTTGGTGTAGTGGTTAACGTGTTGGCCCAGGAAGCAGTAGGCAGTGAGTTGTAGGTTTTCTGTAGGTTGGGCGACTTCAGGCCAGTCACTTTCTCACAGCCAAACACAGAGGGTTGTAGTTGTTGGGAAAATAGTCAATTCATTATCTAATGAATTGACTTTTCAAAGTTGCTGTGAAGTGACTCCCTAAATGAAGGAAAGGGATTTTTTTTTCAAATTTTCAAATTAAATTAGATTTAACTTGTATTGTACTTTCTCTAGATTAACTTAAAGAGGTGGCCAACTAAAACCAAAAGACTAATCCCTCAACTTTTGCTGCTTTTTACTTTAGAAGAGTAGAATGTATCAAATTGATATTTGGTGTATTTGTTTTACCAGTCCAATATTAGTTCTGTCATTCCCTAGAATAGCATTGCTTCTCATAAAATTACTATATGTGCCTATTTTACGCTATTGCTATCAATATAGCCATTACAGAGGTGAGTTGCTTTCAGTTTGGCCCGGATCAGGTGAACTGGTAGTAGCGGCAGCAGGAGGCTCCTCCCACCCATCCGGACGCATATGCAGAAGTGTCGCATGCGCACAAGCAAACTGGTAGTAAAAAAATGGAAACCCACCACTGAGCCATTACTACATTCCCCATAGAGTTCATCAAGGGCTTCAGTTAAAAGCTAACTGGCAATCTCTCATAGCTGGCATTTCAAACTTTTTCTTAGACTCTGGATTCTTTTCTCCCTTTCTGGGCATCTATGCTGGCTAGCACGTCTCTTTTACCGTTATGTCATGTCTTCTTCTTTTTTTTTTTTTTTGAACAGAGGTATCCATGTTGATTTATGTTCAGTGCTCCTAAATCATCCAGAAAATTCCTTGTCTTCTTTCTTAAATTACTTATTCCCATTTTGTCTTTCTAGCCCTTTTGTCTTATTAGCACTTTAATTTTTCATCCCTGTTCTATACAGAAGCCTTATCTGATTTTCCCAGCTCTTTTCCATCCTCAAGTTATCAACTGCAAGTATTGATGGTATGTCTGGGAGATTATGTGACAGATGGCAGACAGTATTTAAATTCTCTATATTCCGTCACATTAGTTCTAAATGGGAAATAATCATTTGCTAGAGTTTTTGTAATATCATCCTTTTTTTCTCAATAAATTGTGTTATAAAAAGACAATAAGAATCATTCTTGGAAAGAATCACTTTCAGTTTTAGGCACTTGCCAAAGAGTCTGATGTATGTATAAAATCACTGTGCTTTTTTGTTTTTAAATCTGCCCCTCATTTTATAAGGGTCTATAATAATTTATATCTGGGGCCATCGTAAATGATTTATCAAATGGTGAACAATTGTGCATAATACAGATTAAGTTTAAAAGGGTCATATTTGAGGAAAAGTCTTCCATTATACTTTTGTGGGTGCAAACTGGGAACTTCAGCAAATTTCTTGGTTTTCTCTTTTCTGTAGATCAGCCAATTCAATATGCGTGTTCTGACTTTGAAGATGGAATTGCAAAATTGACTATTCAAGATGCTTTACCAGAAGATGATGGAGTATATACTTGTCTGGCAGAAAATGCTGCTGGAAAAGCTTCCTGCTGTGCTCAGGTTACTGTTAAAGGTAATTATGAAGATAAATGCCCAACTGATCTATCCTTTGAGGACTGAACTGAAAACTTTAATTATTTTATTTTCTCTTTGTTTATATATATTTTTACTATGCATTTTATTCAATGGAGATACAATCAGTGGTCATTGATGAACTGATCTTGTTGTATCTTTGACAGATATATCTTCTTATGTCTTAATCTACTTATCCGCTAAAAGGCATATTTGAGTTTGTGAAGAGTTTTATGCATCCCACTGCTTTTAAAAAACCCTGCCCATGTGTTTGACCTTTACTTAGTAGCATGATATCTTTCAATTGATTTGGAAAAACATTAATGAGTTATGTTTCAGTAAATTATGGTAAAGTGCGGTTGTCTCCAATTGAAATTATTTCCTTCTGTACTACTATTCTGGTTCTGATGTTGATTAATTCTATAGCAAACTTCCTCAGTCTGATGTCCTTCAGTTATTTTGGAACTGTAAATTCCCAAATTTTCAGCTTTTGGCAATGTTGGCAAGGGATTTTGAAAGCTGTAACTCCAACATATAAAAGTATCTGACTGAAGAAGTCCATTCTGCAAAGATAAATTAGAGTAGAGAAGAGATAGAGATAAGAATTACAATTTGAGGAACCATGAATTGCCTCCAGGTGAGACGACTGATCTAATGAGCTCCTTCATTACTCCACTTTTAAAATTCCTATATTCTGTGGGCTGACACAGTAAGCTTTTAATTTCACATTTATCTTAATCTTCAGGCAGTCTTCCATCCAGATTCAATTGAAGCAGGAATCTGCTTAGATTCAACAGTTTTGCAAAGTAACATACTCTCAAACAATTTTAATTGTGATTCCAAGTATCCATTGCTGTTTTGAATGAATCCACATTCCCTACCTAGCTCCAGTGAAGAAACAGAACAAAACTGTGGACCAGGGGTTTATTTTAGCAAAATAAAATAAATCAAAATAAAAGAAAGTTATAGTACTGTGTTTAAAGACATTTGCATTGTGTATAGCACCATCTTTGCAAATCCTCTGTATTACTAATTTCAATCTTTAGTGCTCAAAACACAGAGAATTGTTAGGAAATGTCATTAGACAATCATTGCTATTTCTGTGTAGAGAATACAAAATTTCATTTCTTTGCTGTACTACTCCCAAGCTACTAAAGATTCTAGAACACGGGTGTCAAACTCGATTGCATCACATGACATATCACAACATTTTTTGCCTTTGCGGAGCTGGGGTGGGCATGGCCTGCACACAAAAATATCTTCAACCCTCCAGTCACATTACCTATTTAACTGGCACAAACTAGCATGGATAAACAATTCAATGTCCTCTAGAAGTTTTGGATTTCAACTTGCATCAACCCCTTTCATCAGTCATGTTGGCTGGGGCTGAGAGGAATTAAAATCCAACAGTTCTGGATTTTCTAGGTTGTGTTCTCCAAACAAACAGCTTATGATGGAGCAAATAATTTGAAGAAGGTTACCTGTTACCTGACACTCAATGGCTTTAAAGTGGACTCACACACAACATTTCTCCAGAAATCCTTTGGAGCTTTTCCCTTAAAAATACATTATTGAAGAAAACAAGAAATATCGAACCCAACCAAAAGATTTTCACATTAACAGTTTTGTAAAAAGATTATTGTATATAAGCAGCTTGTACAGCAAATGGAAAATTACATTTTTAAAAAGAGGGACAAGTGTGTCTTTATAAATTCCACTGGATTATGTGATCAGATTTGAAAACTGAAAGCATATTACCAGCCCAAAAGGAGATGTTCTGTCAACTGGATATCTTGAATGTAGAACTTTCCCTGTTGCTGATTTGCTACTCCTGGGAATAAAATCCTCCCCACATTACATGTCTGTTAAGCTTGTCTTCTAGAGGAGAAGAAGGTGCTGTTGAGGAAAATAGGTTCATGGAGAGAGAACCATTGGATTTGCAGAGGCACCGGTAAACTGCCTCATATTTGTTGGAAGTACCAGTTGCAATCTTTTCTGTGCTGGTCAAATTTAGCAATGGCCGCATGCCGTCTTTATTACTGCAGTGCAATTTATGTGGGGTTAGACTTGAAAAATATCTGGAAATTGCCATTAGTGGAAAATGCCAGGCTGCTTAACTGGAGTATAGGGATCACGTGAAGCTTATTCTAAAAGACCTGTACTAGCTGATTATTGACTCTTGGGCTCAATTTAAGGTGATGGCATTGACCTTTAACATTGTAAATAGTTTTAGGTCCTTATGATCACAAGGATTGTCCCTTCCGCTAATCTTTCCATTACTTAGATTATCAGGGGAGTACCTTTTGAAGACCTCCCCCCTCAGGCTTTCTACTGTGTGGCTCCCCAGCTGTCAAGCTTAGTATCAGAGCTTGGCAGTAAATCTCCAGTCTTTAGATATTTAAAACCTTATTCAGGAATGGTTTGAAGACTCTCAGGGATGCCACAACCAAATTAAATTTTCTGTTGTGGTCAAAAATTATGCCATATGCGTACAGATTTTTGCTCTTTGTGGGTGTAAAGAAATCACAGTCTTTATACAGGTATGTAATCCAAAGATTAGTTTTTTTTGTTCTGCCTTTCTGAGTTAATGGATGCCTTCATTTGGTGACATTGGGCAGCTCAGACATAATAGTCCTCTCTACCCTGGGAACTGCTGGATGCTGCTTTGCCAGATGTGTTGGTTTCTGTGCCTGAAAGAAACACACTGAGGCTCAGTATTTGGCCATACTGTTCTAGGCATGTTGCTGCTGTTTTTGAATCCAGACATGGCAAATGTAGATAATTTGTCTGCCCCTCCTCCTGTTTTGCTCTCATCTTCCTTTCTCTGCCTTTCTCTCTTTAACTTTTCCTCTCATGGCCTCACATTTTTCTCCTTCCTCAATTGCCCAACACTTCTGAACATGCATATTTCAAAGCTATGCCCCAAGCAGTTCTGTGCATGGAACATTTTGCACATCCCCAGAATTTATCTGCTGAACAAAAATACAAAACGATGTGTATGTTATCTATGCTACATTTGCTATATGTATGTTTTAAAATAACCTGGAACCCAGGATTTCTTCTTTTTAATATAAGAACAGTCTTGTTTGATCATCTGAAAGCCCAGCTTAGTCCAACATTATCTATAACAGAATTGTATGGGACTTTGAAAGTTTATAAGTCCAATCTCCTGCTCAGGCAGGAAACCCTATACCATTTCAGACTATTGATTGTCTAATCTCTTAAAAGTTTGAAGCACAGTGGGACATGCCCTTCCACTGATTAATTGTTCTCACTGTCAGGAAATTTTTCCTTAGTTCTAGGTTGGTTCTCACCTTGATTAGATTCTATCCATTGCTTCTGCCTTCAGGTGCTTTGGAGAATAGCTCGACTCCCCCTTCTATGTGGCAGCCCCTTAATTATTGGAACACTGCTATCATGTCTTCCCTAGTCCTTCTTTTCATTAAACTAGACATACCCAGTTCCTGCAACCGTTCTTCGTATGTTTTAGCCTCCAGTCCCCTAATCATCTTTGTTGCTCTTCTCTGCACTCTTTCTAGAGTCTCCACATCTTTTTTGTATTGTGGCAAGCAAACTGTATGCAGTATTTCAAATGTGGTCTTACGAAGGCAAAAGTAGTATTAACACTTCACGTGCTCCTGATTCTATCCTTCTGTTAATGCATCCTAGGACTGTATTGGCTTTTTGGTAGCTGCAGCAATTTGGTAACTGCTGACTCATATTTAAGGGATTGTCCACTAGAACTTCAAAATCCCTCTCGCAGTTACCATTATTGAGCCAGGTTGTGTTGTGTTGTATTGTGTTCCATTTTATTTTGCTTCACTTTACAGGTTACACTTAGTCTATTCTGGCAGCAGTTGTAGCATTTCCTTTATTAAGTAGATTGGGCTGAGAGCGAATGTCTGGCATCAAGTTCAGTAATCTTCCATGACTGAGAATGGATTTGAACTTGATCTCTTTGATCCTAATTCAATACCTTACTTACTGTACCACTTTGGCTCTCCATTTTATTTTAGTGCCCAGTGGGTTTTTTTCTGGACTTTTAAAGCCATCCATGTTAATGCCCATTATATATCTTGTGGTTATTAAGGTCACCAATAATTTTTATCGTTCTCTTGTGCAATTTTATTTCTTCCACTATATTCCTCTTCAATTATATAAACATAAATCATTCTGCATGAATCAAACTGCAGATATATCATAGATCTATATAAGAGCACAACAATTTAGGGATTTTTATTTTAATTATTCTAATGTTCCTTAGCATTGATTTTGCTTTTATGTTTTTACAGCTGCTACACAGAGTTGCCATCTTCATTTGGCTATGCAGTAGGCTCTTAATATCTTTTTATAGGATGGTTGGTGGGTAGCTCAGATCCCATCAGTGTATATACGAAGTTATAGATGTCCCAGTATGCATCTCTCTTCACTTTCTTAAATTCAGTCAGATTTGCCCCTGGATTCCCTTAATCAGCCACTTTAAAAATATTTTTCTGGAGCTTGTCACAATTTCCCCCCTCCCCCTTTTTTTAACCATCCAGAATTGTTTAGTATTGTCTGCAAATGTTGAAACTCAATCTAAGTCAGGATCATTTATGAACAACTTAAAAAGCAGCAGACCCAACAAACCTCTGAGGTTTTTCACTTCTTACATCTCTCCATTGAGAAAATGTCCCAATTATTTCAATTTAGCTTTCTTTTTTGTTTTGTTTTTTAGTCAATTAGTAGTCCATAAAAAGGCAACTTTTTTTATCCCATGTCTCCGAAATTTACTCAAAAAGTATTTGATGAGAAACTTTATTAGTATCAAACAGAAGTTTATTTGCATCTTATAAATAATTAGATGATTTGTCATCGGGATTTCCCTATCTCCACCAGGACATCTTGGAATTCACCAGTTTTTACTAATGTGAACATCCTATCATTTGCAATATTTGGCTTACAGTACTTTGATTAATCTGCTCGTTTTCATTATTTGATGAAAAGCCAAGCAGCTAATAG